TATGTTTTTCGTGTGTACCAGGGTACCTACTTTCCGTATGTATATGTTTTTTGTGTGTACCAGGGTACCTACTTTCCGTATGTATATGTTTTCCGTGTGTACCAGGGTACCTTCTTTCCGTATGTATGTTTTTCGTGTGTACCAGGGTACCTACTTTCCGTATGTATATGTTTTTCGTGTGTACCAGGGTACCTACTTTCTGTATGTATATGTTTTTCGTGTGTACCAGGGTACCTACTTTCCGTACGGGCGGATTCTGTGCCTGCAGCCAATCACACGCAGCTACCTGTTGGTGGGAAGTCAACTATCGCGGATCTGGCTTTACGACACTTACACCAACAAGTTCCGCCATTCATCAAGTCTCCTGCCTGACCATGTCCTGTGTATCAAACACATGTCTGGGTAAACTTGTACTGCCTCCATTAATATTTTATCATGTAGAGTTTCACTTCAGTGTTTATAAGTTACTACTGTACATTCTCAAAAGAATGTTTAAACCTGTATGTTGTTGTTTTACTTAATAGTCTTTAATGTTAGCTAAATGAGATATTCAACATTTATATGTTATTCCATTTGCTAAAGAATGATTAAAACTCTATGTTTTTGTTTTACTTAATAGTCTTTAATGTTAGCTAATTGAGATATTCAACATTTATATGTTATTCCATTTGCAAGTAATTATCAGAACTGTATCATTTTGTAGTACGACAGATGATTTGGTATTTGCCGGTCTGGCCAATGGTTTGATAGCCGTGTTCCCAGTGTCCGATATCATAGAGGTAAGTAAACACAGGCCAGAAATAGTAGTCACAGGTAAATATAGCAGTGGTATACACCATATATATAGTAAAGAACACAAAAACTACACTTCAGGAAAGGTTTTCTATAACAGTTTATAAGGTCAGTCAACAAGATGGAATTGATGTTCTGTGTTGTAGGAGAAAAACGCTGTGCCAATGTGTCTGCATGTTGGTGACCTGCGTGAGCCGGTCCGCTGTATGGAGGTACAAGCCCACAAGCGGCTATTGTACGCCTCGTGTGGATCAAAGATCACAGTGTTTAGTACACGCCTGAGCATAGCTCTGGAGCTGACTTTTGAAACACTTATTCCGAGGTATTTATTTATACTTCCTACTAAACACTTGCTCCGAGGTATTTATTTATACTTCCTACTAAACACTTGTTCCAAGGTATTTATTTATACTTCCTACTAAACACTTGTTCCAAGGTATTTATTTATACTTCCTACTAAACACTTGTTCCAAGGTATTTATTTATACTTCCTACTAAACACTTGTTCCAAGGTATTTATTTATACTTCCTACTAAACACTTGTTCCAAGGTATTTATTTATACTTCCTACTAAACACTTGTTCCAAGGTATTTATTTATACTTCCTACTAAACACTTGTTCCAAGGTATTTATTTATACTTCCTACTAAACACTTGTTCCAAGGTATTTATTTATACTTCCTACTAAACACTTGTTCCAAGGTATTTATTTAAACTTTCTACTAAACACTTGTTCCAAGGTATTTATTTATACTTCCTACTAAACACTTGTTCCGAGCTATTTATTTATACATCCTACTAAACACTTGTTCCAAGCTTTTTATTTATACTTCCTACTAAACCAGGAAAAGTTTCCACTGAACGTTAATTGTGCACATTGCTTACAAAATCTACCTAGCTCACTTCTTAGACTGCAGCGGTTAAATGTTCAGTATTAAATGATTTACAGTGATATTTTAGAGGATTAAAAAAAAAACATAGAATGACAAAAAGATAACATATCATTAGTTCATTGATAGAAATCAGGTTAAAGGGGTAAATAGAACACAGGATCCAGCTACAGGGTTGGGTTTTGAAGGATTCTGACAAATTCCTATAAATAGAGGATCTGTCGTAAGTTTCCCTTCATATTAGATTGATGATACAAGTTTTGGGTTTTTCCTGTTTGCGAGCCTCTGGCGAGCAAATATGGAAACTCCAAAATCTTTTTTATCATATAATACAAAGATAACTGTTTCATTGTGATCTTAAATGAATATTTTGCACTTGGCCGCCTCTGAAACGATGAGAAAATGGCGTCCGCTTTACAATGGATGTGACGTCACATTGATTGTTCCTATTCCATTGTGATGTCATTTTGGAGTGATATTACACACGTTACATAAACATAATTTATGTAATGGCTTTATGACACTACATAACACAGTATTCCTATGATAAAACATGTTATGCCTGAGGTTTTCATATATAGAGTAGTATAACCATCTCTGTGTCATCACTTCAGTTTTTATACGCTGCTTTTGCTTTTCTCTCACACTGATTAATGATACTAATGATGCTTTAACATCAAACATTTACATGAACAAGAGCATGTTGAAATTAATTAACCTGTCAAGTCATCCAAGAAAATAGTACACAAAATCCTTATTGATCAGATGAAAATTAAATTTTGTACTTAGTGTCATATTTTCAAATCATACCTGAATTTCGTGTATGAATGAGAGTATTAAAAGTTTTCTTGAAACAGTACACTTACAGAACATGATCTTCATAAAATGTCATTGAGTATTCATTGATCAGTCATAAGAAGGCTTACCACAAGAATGGTACCATAGATTTATATAATCTCAACCCTCAGAGAAAGACTCTTCAGTTGCCAAATACTCTGTAAATCCTTGTGTTTGGCAACTGAAGAATCTTCCCCCTAGGGTTGAGATTCTCCTACCTCACCCCCTAGGGTTGAGATTCGCCTACCTCCCCAAGGGGGTGAGAGATTCACTTACTCTTTCATCCTGTTAGAGATGAGACGGACAAATTTAGTAGGATGCTTTCAATCCTCCTATGATACAAACGTTCTGTTGTACAATGTATTTAGTATTTTCCTCCACAGTAAGAGTCCTAGCCCGCCAGTATACACCATGGCCCTGGGTACATCCCTTCTACTGTCTCACATGGGACAGCCACATGTCCAGATGTGGGAGGTGGGACGCCTGAGAGGTCCCGGCATGCCACCTAAACTCCGGCACACTTTTAACATTGCTAACATGTTTGAGTAAGTAATTACAAAACTCATACGACCTTCAGTCTTTGAGCATCATTGTTTGTGTAAATAACTGAGATAAAATAAATGTGTCATCTAGAAATATTCTCAGACGCTATGAACTTGTCTAGATATGTAATTTCTGACTACATATGTCTCAGGTTTTAAAGTTTGCCCATTAGAACACAGTAAAACATATGTCCAGCATCACACATAATCCTGGCCATCTTTTGACTTCCTTACAGACTGCCAGCCAAGCAGGCTCGTGTGACCTCTCTGACCCTGGTACCGGACAACGGCATGGCTTGGGTCGGGACCGGTGGAGGACATGTGGCACTCATTGACCTCAAGTCTATGATAGGTGTGTCCATCACACATAAATACTCGGGCGCCATCAGGAGTCTTGTTTACCTCCGTGCAAAAGGTATCAATATGAAGTATCTCAGCGGAGTTTTGTTGTAAAGGGTTATTTAGGTGGTGATGTGAAAAAAATAAATTTTACTTCAATTTGGCAAACCACAGCAGGTCAAATATGTGAAATCATAATCGCAGCTGTAGCCACCAAATTATACATGAAAAACAAAATAGTAAAAAGAAGTCAAAAAACATTCTCCTTTGACCAAGCTGTGTCTTGTATGCTTTATGAAATTCTGTCTTCATCAGATGCAATATACATATATGTTTTACTGAAGTTAATGCTTTCATATTAAAATACAACAATGTTTTTCTTCTAAAACCATTTTACACAAATCCAACAACCCAGGTGGAGTATAAATTGGTCTGGGGTGGATGTTGCGGTACATAATGTATCTGTGATGTAGCATTCAAGTGAGGTGGCACTATAAATGATGCTGGTGGAAGCATGGTCCCACTACAAACATAACACATCACATCTTCAGCACACACGCAGGCATACACCCATAGGGAGATATAAGCCAGGTGGCATAGGACTAGTAGTTAGCGCCTGATAAGGCAGCTCCTGCGAATTCCTCAAAATCGTATTGATAAATGTATATGCTTATTGTATTGATTATATATCTATGTACTGTAAAGCGCTTAAGAGTAGCTTAATTTGTTAGCTAGAAAGGGGGCTATATCAAATGTTGTATATTATATTGTATATTATTATTTTGTGATTTTTTTGTGTTAAAGGAGATTTCAAGTGCTCAGCAGTTATCAGTGGAGGTTTAGGGTTCATTGCTAGTCCAGGAGGTCAAGGGGTCAAAGGTGAGTGGGGTTGAATGTATGATGTCAAAAGTAAGTGAAGATCAAATGTTTTATGTCAAAGGTGAGTGGGGTCGAATGTATGATGTCAAAAGTAAGTAAAGATCAAATGTTTTATGTCAAAGGTGAGTGGGGTCAAATGTATGATGTCAAAAGTAAGTAAAGATTAAATGTTTTATGTCAAAGGTGAGTGGGGGTCAAATGTATGATGTCAAAAGTAAGTAAAGATTAAATGTTTTATGTCAAAGGTGAGTGGGGGTCAAATGTATGATGTCAAAAGTAAGTAAAGATCAAATGTTTTATGTCAAAGGTAAGTGGGGGTCAAATGTATGATGTCAAAAGTAAGTAAAGATTGAGTTTAGTGTATGATATTAAATGAGAGTGGAGGTCCAATGTTTTATGTTAGAGGAGAGTGGAGAAACGTTTGGTGTAGAGGTACTAACACTGTATAGTGTAAGGTACAGGGAGTGGGGTGATTGAGGTTTGTACAGTGGAGTGAGTGAGGTGATTGAGGTTTGTACAGTGGAGTGAGTGAGGTGATTGAGGTTTGTACAGTGGAGTGAGTGAGGTGATTGAGGTTTGTACAGTGGAGTGACTGAGGTGATCGAAGTTTGTACAGTGGAGTGAGTGAGGTGATCGAGGTTTGTATAGTGGAGTTAGTGAGGTGATTGAGGTTTGTACAGTTGATGGAGTGAGGTGATTGAAGTTTGTACAGTGGAGGGAGTGAGGTGATTGAGGTTTGTACAGTGGAGTGAGTGATATGATTGAGGTTTGTACAGTGGAACATTTCCCTTACTATGACTGACTGAATGGAAATAACGCAAATGGAATTTTCATGAATACAAAGGTTGTGGGTCCTATATTCTGACCTTGGAGTACCGTTACTGTTACCTACTCAGAGAGAAGTAATTATATATGTACATTAGGTGTCCAGTCTCTTTATTTTACTAAAAAATCAGTTCAAAAAAACGAACTAGACACGTTTTGTATATTTATGTACTTTTTATTTTTTAGTTAAAACTTGTTTAAAATACATGTATGCATGTGTTCACACTTTTCCCTAGGAAAACAAACAGACCCAAACATGATTTTGAGACAAACCGTGAATTCAAAATCCATGATATTTTCCTTTGTTTCTTAACATTTCCAGATAAAGAGTACAGCTGTTTGGCTGTGTGGGACCCTAACTATGATCAGACACTCCGACTTTTCCAGAAGTATTTGGAGCTGAGGAAAGAAAAAGAAAGGGAACAGACAAAAAACTCCATCAAAGTCACCTGATCTCAATTCAAAGGTGCTAACATGCATAAAGGTTTTATATGAACAGGCAGAAAATCAATGTTTACTTAAAAAGACTAAGTTTTCTTGAACTTCATGTTAAATATTATTACACACAGAGAATAAGAACTTATATATTGAATGTATATGTTTAAATTTCATTTAATCAATTTCGTTTTCTGTTTACGTGATTTCGTCCCCTGATCTTTACGTAATTATCTCCCCTGATGTTTACGTGATTATGTCCCTTGATCTTTACGTAATTGTCTCCAATGATGTTTACGTGATTTCGTCCCCTGATCTTTACGTAATTGTCTCCAATGATGTTTACGTGATTATGTCCCTTGATCTTTACGTGAATATGTCCCCTAATCTTTACATGATTATGTCCCCTGATCTTTAAGTGATTATCTCCCCTGATCTTTACATGATTATCACCCCCGATTTTTACATGATTATCTCCCCTGATGTTTACATTATTATGTCCACTATACTTTACGAGATTATCTCCCCTGATTTTTACGTGATTATGTCCCCTAATCTTTACATGATTATGTCTGCTATACTTTACGTGATTATCTTCCCTGCTCTGTACCTGATTATCTCTCCTGATCTTAATATGATTTTGTCTTCTGATCTTAATGTGATTTTGTCTCCTGATCTTAACTAGATGATGTCCCCTGATCTTTACGTGATTATCTCCCTTGCTTTTTATGTGATTATGTCCCCTGGACTTGGCATTATTATTCTCTTTCATCATTACATGGTTGTGTCCCATTGTATTTACATAGTTGTGTCCCCTGATATGGTTGCCTCTGCTGATTTTACATGATTATTTCCAATAATCCTAACCAAAGTATTAACAAATTTAAAAAAATGTTTTATCAATGTGGTGCTATTAAGAATACATATCAATATGATTTACATGTCTGGCTGTTACTGAGATACAGGTATGTTGTTTAACAATCATACATTAAAGTATAAATATATAGCTATTATTTAGGTTATATGTATCGTGCAATGTAGAATATCTGGGAGAGCAGGATATACTTGTATTTAACATATAATTCAACTGAGTGATGTAATAAAAACCTTTGGAGTGTTTAACCATGCTGGTTATGATATAATAATGACTGTAAGGTACTGCATTCATTTGTGCATTGATACATTAAGCTTACTTTTATATTCATTTTTTTTATTTTGCAGAAATATTTGTATTTTTATGTATCACATCAATTTTAATGAACATAAAAATATCACAGGTTTCAAATTAACCTTGCTTGTGTGTTACTAACCTGATGCAGTTTGATACAATGTAATATACTGGTAATATAAAGTGGTATTCTAGTCGGAATAAAGGATTATTAGCACTACTGTAAACATGAAGATATGTAATCTAGATGCTTCAAGGGGCTTACAGATGTTTCCCCAAATAATTTATTCAAATTTTGTGAAACGAACAGTGCCTATACATGTTTAACAGTTGCTAAAATCAGTCTTTTTTTGATAAGGTTGAATTTAGATTAGCTATCTTAATAGTTTTAACTTTTAAAATGTACATGTAATTAGATTAAAATGTTTATAATGATATCTATTCACGGACTGTGACAACATGAAGCACAGTAATGTATTAGAATGAATATTCAACAGCTACATGCTCTATCTGTCATGGACATAGTGCTGTTCAGGGGAAGAGTTATGTATAGAATGAATGATACACCAGATATCTGTTATAGACTTTTATCACATAATGTACTGTGTTATCCAATGAATATTAACCCATGTAATATGACCTATCACCCATGTAATATGACCTATCACCCATGTAATATGACCTATCACCCATGTGATTGGTTGTAAGTTTCGATTGTTTCAATTGTGATGTCACGCCTAGGACAAGTACATAACATCCCAGACTTACGCACTGAAGTCAAAATGGTGGCCTTTTACATTTCAAAGTTGCATAAAAAAGTCGTTTTACACGAATAAATGCCACCAAAGGACAGTGTTGTGATATCTGGGTTTCTGTTGTGTCTGTACACCAAGTTTCCCTTGTTAACCCACTATGTATCTGCCACTAACGTACACTGTATTTAAGGATTTTAGCATGAATACACGAAAAAAGCAATGGAAACCCCCGGGTTGTTGACGTACACACATGTACACGGTGTATGTATCACTACGCACACGGATAATGACTGTCTTTATCGCGAGAGAATGACAATAACCTCAACAAAGGTTATAGAGTCAATAACACTTGAAACTGTATCTATATATAAACTTTACTTCGGTATCTATGCTGATACAGTAGAACCTGCTCATGGGAACACCTGTATAAGGAGACCACCTGTATAAGGAGACCACCTGTATACGGAGACAATTATTCATGTTCACCATTAATTTGTGAATTGCTTCATAAACTGAACCTGTATACAGAGACCACTGGGGGGGGGGGCTGTTAATACGTGTTTCACTGTACTGCACTTACATTAAATGCATTGTGTATTTATACTGAATTATACATTCCTGTCTTTTGATGTTTATCTACATGTAATTGATTAACATTTACTTTATTTTAAAACATAAAATTAGATTAATAAATTATGTTTTTAACAAATCAATTCAGTTTCTGTTGTTTATGGTCTTACTACAGACACTTTTTTTGCTGTCATAATCAATCTGAAAAATAACTAGCGCTCTTCTTACAATAGATTTTCTCCAAAGCCTGATAAAAATACCTATACCTCCTTGGCTACGTGTTTATATGAACTTGTTTTGATGACATACATGTATTACTCAGGGTGTATGATTAAACTGTACATTTTATTTTCATCATTTGAGACATTTTTTAACGAAAAGTCACCATAAATTCTATATATTTAGTTTTTCGGGTGTCGCCTGTTTTAAGTATAGCAACACTTATTAGGCATTAAAATAAACCTGTAATGTATAAATCATACAATAAAGATACATTTTATAAATATTTTCATTGTCGAAAGTTCGTTATCCACAAATATGTGGGTGGTAGGGATGTTAGGAATATAAACCCGGTAAGGAGTAGCGGGCCTGGCTATAGACCGGCCCAGATACTGAAACAGCTGTGGTCACTGGAATGACTGGAATCTTAATCTGACCAGGTATGTCTGATTTACTAGATAACTTCGTATTTAGAGCGATATAACACAAACACATGGTATATTCCCCTAAATTTGGATTGATTTTCCAAATGTTTCTTGTTTTATTGATACTATATTTAAAGACCAGAAGACAAAAATGGGTTTTCTGGCTTAGATAGTCCGTGCAATTATATTTCCTAGATACATGTAGCAGCATGGATAGAGGGTAAGACTGGAAGTGTATATATATATATAAAATAAGTGTTATTTCTTTCATGTGACGCAATGGTGGTAATATCCAGATTTATTGAAATATCTCCTAACTAATTACTCTTTCAAAAATGATTGTGTATATCAAAAATGTTATACATACATGTATGTTGGAGTTTTCTTTGTCCTGTGTTGAATATGTACTTAAAACAAACAACCGTAGATATACCGGTCATTTAATAGAAATAATAATTATATAATAACTCAAGGTTCTTATATACCGCTTTTTCACAACCTAGTTGGTAGGTCGTCTTAAAGCGGTTCACAAATTATTATCCGTGGTTATAGGGCCTTAGCAACCAGCTAATATCTTTCTCAACTTCCTAGGGAGCATACAGCCGGAGCTGTCATTTCGGTGCTTACAGCTAGCATTCTACATTTCTAGCACTGCCCAACCATGTACTCATTTACAGCTGAGTAGACTGGAACAAGCGGAGTAAAGTATCTTGTTCAAATCTGACAACACAGTGCCGTTACGTGACTCAAGCCGCAACCCTTCGGTTACGAGCCCTTAACCATGAACTGAGCAACTCGTCGTACCGTCAAACTGCCGTCAAAAGGAAGGTGACGTTTATAATGTTTATGCCCCTAGCCCGATTCCTGTAATTAAATAAAATTTCGAAATCAAATTCAGTAAAGTGCATCGCAAGTTGTGATTTATATGAAACAGTTATGTGGAAAAATGCTTCAAACATTTTGTTCATAATAGTGACAATGACAATACTATATCTTCACTTAGTACTTGTTACCTTGGCTGTAGAGATAATAGATACATAATGTCCAATATCCTTAATACATGGGATAGTTCATGGTGTGGTATGTTTTACTCATATCAAGCTAGACATGCTATATTCTTATATTTATTCTCATTTAATCAACTCCTTTTTTAATTTAATAATATTTTCTTTGGTTTTCCAGAGCTAAGCACTCTATGAAATATGCAGAATCAAATAACTGAGATATTCCTCTAAATAATATAGCATTGTCTGAATAATAACATTGATAAATTTCTCTAAAATATTAAGATTACAAGTTGGGATAAAGTAGGCATGCCTCGCTCAGAGTGTAATCTTAAACAGGGTTTGTTTATTGTAGAAGTAGGGAGAGGGTGAGCCAGAGCGAGCACGGAGGCCGTAATGTCCTCCTCAGCTGGCTTTATTTATTATTAGTATTTATTTCAAGTCAACAGACCATTCGTACAATAAGAAAATGATAACAACAAACCAGTGCCATGACCAATAATAACGATAATTGTCACGGAATATCATAATTTATCATCATGTTAATTTTTAGCCCACCATCATCTGATGGTGGGCTATTCAAATCACCCTGCGTCCGTGGTCCGTCGTCCGTCGTTCGTCCTTAAACAATTCTTGTTATCGGTATTTCTCAATAAGTACAAGAGGGATCTTTCTTAAATTGTATATGTAGGTTTCCCTTTGTCCTAAGCTGTGCAGGGCAACTTTTGAGACTGATCGGATAAACAACATGGCCGGCAGGCAGCCATCTTGGATTTTTATAGTGAAAGTTTGTTGGGAAGTACGGGAGGGATCTTTCTCAATTTGTATATGTAGGGTCCCCTTGATCTCTCGTTGTGCATGTTATATTTTGAAACCGATCATAAAGACAAAATAGATTAAAAAAAGAACTAAACAGATTTTTCTTATATTGCAATGATCGATTCTATTTCTTTCACATTAAGTACTGTACTAGTAAATATGTGAATGACAAACTCACTTTGAAGGTTGGCTTTCTTACACATCAGTATTAAGTTTAGATCAAAAGTTACCTCAAGGTGCATTTACTGTTAACATGACTCGATCAAACAGATTAGAGGAAAGAAGAGAAAAGATCGAACTGACAAAAAACTAATGAAGATGGTACAAAGGTGGGGGCCAAGATCCCTCTGGGATCTCTTGTTTAAATTTGGGTAACACCCTAAATAAATGCCTGTATCGCCCCTGGTATGGACAGGCCACTTTACATTCAGGACTGCAAAAGTGTTTAAGAGGGGAAAGTGGAATTGTTTTAGAAATATAATAATGATAATAATTCGAAGTTCTTTAACAACCTAGTTCGTAGGTCGTCTCAAAGCGGTTCGCAAATTATTACCCATGAATATAGGGCCTTTGCAACCAGCCAATTGCAATATCTTTCTCAACATCCTGGGGAGCATACAACCGTGCTGCCATTTTGTCGCTCACAGCTAGCATTCAACAATTTTGGCACTGTCCAACCACGTTCTCATTTACAGCTGAGTAGACTGAAACAAGCGGAGTAATGTATCTTGATCAATTTTGACAACGCAGCGCCGTGACGTGACTCGAACCCGCAACCCTTCGGTCACCAGCTCTGCGTCCTACTACTAGAATACCGTGCCTCCATAAAACATAGGATTTGTGTGGTTCATGTGTATGTGGTGAATAGTCTTTGTCTAAGTGTGGTTCTTAGTATAAAGTGCTACTTTTTGTCAAAGTAATGTATTCATGTTTTGTAAATTATGAAAATTGAATAAAAAAAACCGTGTGATATAATATAGTTACAATACAGGTATTAGCAGATGGAGAGTATGCGTGTAAACATGTAATCAGCTGTTCCTTAAAACTTGACACGGAGTAGCACATATACATGGAATTTTAAATCATATCTCTAAATTCTTGTAAAAAGGCTGTATTTACGATCATTACGTCTGCTAAATAAACTGTAAAATAAAATTTTCGTACTTTGTCTAAGATTTCGTTCTGGTACGTGATAAAAACAAGATTAGTTAGATTAGACCTGTCAAAGAAACTAGTGTTGTGTAAGGGTTATAGATTTAAGTGATCATTTTACCAATTAAGGACTTTTTCGTGGCAATTACTGTTATTTAAATTTGTATTACTAGGTGCATTGGATCTTAAATATACACGTTTGTGACAGTCTGTTGATCAATATCAATTTTACAACGAATTCCATACCTGTAATACAAGTGTAGGAAAGTCTGATGACTTTCAAATACCGAAATAGAAAACAGCTTCATGCTAAGTAAATAAATAACAGAGTATTTCGACATTTAATTCAATTGGAAACTTAAACGTAATCTACAAAAGGAAAATACTGAAAAGAACACAGACACTACCTTAATTAGATTTAATTAAAATCTATATAATACAAACACTTATCGATGATAGCCATGATGATTTTAAATAGCACCTCTCCTGAGAACGGTGTAGAGAATTTAAATAGTATTGATTTAGATATACACCTGTAATTGGAGTTGATGACATTTTGATGGTGATGAACTGTCAAATCTAGCAATTTATTTGAAGACAGCCGCGACAAAATACAAGATGAAAAGACATTGACCAGCGTTTAACATTTTTTTCGGCAAAAGCATTTGTGCTTTTATAAAGAAAAAAAGTATTTTCTAAGTATGATAACATTAGGAT